AGCATTCAATCTTTCTCGGGAGCAGCAGCCCCAGCCTCCGCTTTCTCTCTCTCTGCCTCTGCTGCGGCCGCTTGCAGGCCTGCGCCGCGCCGCTGCTGTGCATGGCGTTCACGTTCGAACTCTTCATATCATATATCTCTGATTACTGGAAAGTTGCCGCCGCTGCAGCGCTGCCGCTGGGAGTGTCGTGTGCGTTTTATGTCCCTTCCCTTCCCTTCCCGCCACGCCACGCCGGCACTGCACGGCGAGTGAGATCCATACCGTAGATACTCCGACGGGCAGCGGCGGACGGCAACACCGTCAGCGTCAGGCGACCGCATTAATTCCCATTTGGCTGCACTGCACCACGCTGGCTCCGCATTATTGTCAAAACACATTTAAAAAAAAAAGGTGAAAACGCGAACTTTATTACCGATTTACGATACCGAGTATACTCGTTCACACGCTCAGCAAATTGTGTAGAAAAAATGATAAACCAACGTGTTCGTTGTGACCCCTGTCAACGCCCATTAAAGTAAACAAAAATTCTGAGACGATAATGTGAATAAGCTCCAATATCGGTATAAAAGAAGTGTTCGCCATGCATACGCCCATCGTTTAATCTGATAGTGTGCCATCAGCAGTGTTGCAGTGATGGTCCCGGGTGGGTGTGGGTGAGGAGGAGAGGGACCTCGCCATGCTGCTCCGCATGCTGATCGCCCTCCTCCTCCTTCACCTCCCCCGGGGGGTCACCCGCCGCACCGCGAGGGGCCCCGTGTTACGTCACGCGACACGTGACGGTGGGGTGTGGTGGGGCGGGGCGGGGCGGAGTAGGGTTGGGCGTGCTGGGCTCATGATGATAATGTGATGCAAGGCGCCCGGGCGGGCCCGGCCGCCTGAGGTCACTGGGCCCCGTTGTATTTGCAATTAGGTCGATTAGCCTGCCAGTGTGTCGCACCTGTTTACACGCTCGCACGCCAGACTCGAGCCGACCCGGAAGTGCGCCGCTGGCGAGAAAAGACAAGTCGAGTCAACCCCGGCTATAAAGGTTGTGACTATTTTTGTTTCGTTGTCAGTTTTTTGTTTTTAAGATTTATTTCAGGCGATTGAAATGTATCGCTTTGCCTTTCCAGCCGGGCACTGCGGGGCCGGGCAGCGGTATTGTGTAGCGTTATAGGCTGAGCCGGTGTATCAGGAGGGTCGTAACGCCTTAACGCTCCGGCCGGGCGGGGCGCAGCGAAGGGCGCGGCTCTATGGGCGCCCGTGCGGTGTATTTTAAATCATTCCGCGAGTGTGAGCGGTGGTGCTTGGTGTAGTGTTTTACTGCGAGCCCCGGTGCAGCCTATAAATGCCTTCGTGCTCCCCCCGCTCGGTTTGCCCCCGCGCGGCCAGCCTGTCAGCCTGCAGGGTAGGCCGCCGGGCGCTGCCGCTGCGCGCGGGCGCTTGGCGGGTGGCCTACCTGGGCGTCGGCAGGCGCCCCGTCACAGCCTGCAGGGTAGGCCGCCGGGCGCTGCCGCTGCGCGCGGGCGCTGGGCGGGTGGCCTACCTACTCGTCGATAGGCGCTCCGTCTCGGTTCAGCCTGCAGGGTAGGAGGGTAGGCCTCCGAGCGTTGCCGCAGCGCGCGGGCGCTGGGCGGGCGGCCTATCTGTGTGTCGGCAGGCGCCCCGTCACAGCCTGCAGGGTAGGCTGCCAAGGGCTGCCGCTGCGCGCGGGCGCTGAGCGGGCGGCCTACCTCCGCGTCGGCAGGGGCTCCGTGCTCTACCAACACGCTCTGGCCGCGCTTCCGGCGGGGCCATTATATCCGTGGCGCGCGGCGCCAGGAAAACCCTGACGCAAACGCCGCGCTGTCAAACGCCGCGCGCGGATTGTCAAAATCTGTTATGCAAGGGCGCGGCGCGGTGGGCTGGGCCTCCCGCCGCCTATGCCGCCTGGCGACCGACGGCGGCCTTCATGCGTACGTCCCGGACAGACGTGCAGTATTGACGTGTGCGCGACCGTGTGCGGACGTGCCCGTCATATGGGAAGACGTGCCCGCCGGACACACTGCGAAGCGTAAATCGCGAATCCTGGTCGTTATCGATGGGTAAGGAGAGTTTTTTTAAAATCTCCATCATCGTGAAATTTGCGATGTATAGAACTACAAGTTCTTTGATCTTTATACGAGGTTAATTTGTTCGTATGCTGCTCTGCAAACATTTTTGTGGGGTGTTTTCCAGTTTAGTAACTTGTGTTTCTTTTTCTCCGTGTTGCAGATTCTTTGGCTGGAGCACGACTGCTGCGGTGACGTCTGCCGCTCACAGAGTACAGGTGAGTCAAGCCGAGTGGTGTGCAACAATGCACTCTGGAGTTTTCAATCCGTCGCGTTCGTAAACTGCCGCCGTCTCTCTCTTTCTCGTGCGCCGCCAGACTGCTCGCGGTGAGTGCGAGAGAGCGCGGGCGACGGTCGTTGCGGTGGGCCAGGATCACCACCGGCTGATGCGATGGGCCGCGATGGCCGCGATGATGGGTCGTTATGCCGCCACAAACGGTCATGAAATTTGAGCGATTCGAAGCGGCCATCGCGGCTTGATGGCGGACGTCGTCGCCCTGAAATTGAAAGAGCCCTTGTGTGTGTGTGTGTTGCCTGTATGTGTGTGGGGGGAGGGGGGGTTGTCGCCCATTATACCTAGCACGCGAGTCGGTACTCTCCGACATGGTGCGCTTAACTGACCATACGCACGCGTGGTTCGCGTTTGCTCAAAGAGGGTGTGACTCTGCCATAACTCATAACGTTAAGGCACGGCCATCGATGGCGTGTGTCGTTCCTCATCAAAGCTAAAGTTCCCGCAGCCCGCGCGCCCCCACCCCCGCCACCCTCTCCCCCCCTCTCCAGCCTGCAGCCTGGTGACATTCTTTTTCACATTCTAGGCCACATTTTTTTCTCCCAGCCGTCGTGCTGCCTAGTCCCCGCGCGGCTTGTGGAGGTGCGAGGGAGGGGGGGGGGGGCTGACTGACTGACTGACTGACCAGGCGCGGCCGCTGGATTGTCCGGCGTGCGGCGCGGCGTGGTGATGTACTGCCCCTATTTAGCAGAGTGGTGCCAGCTCGGCCACACCGGGGCAAGGGCCGCGGCCGGGGTTACACTCGCCTCTCTCTTCTCTCTTTTCTCTCTCTCCCTCCTTCTATCCTGCATTGCCACGCCCTCATACACCACCCATGATGTGCTCACCTCTCTCTGCTTCTCTCTCTCGCACACAAAAGTTGGCGCTTAGGTCGCGGCTCTACGCCAAGGCACCCCTTGTCGCCTTGGCCGTGTGCACGGTGCTGGAGAAATCGCCCTGCGCGCTGCTGTGGCGGCCGGCTGGAAGGCCGTAGAGGCGCCGGTGCCGGTGTGAACACATCAAGCCATCGGCCTGGATCGGATCGCAGGGGCAGTGAATATTGCCCCCCTGCCCCTCCTCTCGACCAGGGAGTGAAAGCTCACCTGGAGCATTACTGACTGTGATATCGCCATGTAGGAGACATTGCGTCACTCACGCACTCCTCCAGGCACTCCAGGACCGGTATGGTGCCGGTGGTGCGGTGCTGATTGTCCTGGAACAAGACCTGCTCCGCCTCCCTCGGCGCACCTGCCGCTGTCGCTGCAGTGATTGAAGGCCAGTGACTGTGAGGAATACACCAGGCTGCTGGTGATTTGCACTTCCCAGACTGTACTGCATGTACCGTACACGCCTGCCCGGGCTGGCTGCCTACTCGCCGGATGCGTGCGTGCGGTACAGCCCAACTCGGAATGTGGACGGGGCCTGGGTGAATCGGCCACCTGATATTAATCATTTTACAGCTTGGGTTTCAAGACATCGCGTTGGGAATCCGACCTGGCTGACCCCACGCCCCGCAGTCTGGCTGGTCTGGCTCGGCGCGGCAACAGTGTAGGTATAGTGCATACATACGACCTGTCTCCACGCGACCCTCGGGACTTTGCCGACTAGGGGTGGTGGCGGGGAGCGCGGTTAGGAAAGACGACCGCAACGTGTCACTACTTCCTTCCACTATGCGCTCGTGTCCACGATGTGGCCATGACCGACCACGACGTTGCCATCCGGCCTCGATCGCCGGGCGATCGCGCAAGTTATGCAAAGTCCGAAGTGTAACAGACCATAGTGCGGGGGCGTTGTTCCGTGGCGTGGTGGGCGGGGCGGCGCGCTGAGGCGGCCACGCCCTGCGGCCCCGTCCGTTTGCTTGTTGTTGGCGTGCACCCTCACCCGGACCGGGTTACCCTATGCCGGCCCGTGCCCTTAACGCCCCTTCCTTGCCCCTTTTGTTCGCCGCGCGCTCGGCTCATCAGTCACCGGCCCGGCCGCGACAGGCTTACACTCCACTCACTCCCCCCCGAGGTGTCAGTTGTGCAAAGCTCGCGGCCTGCCCTGCGGGTCCACGCGTACCCGGGCCACGGGCCGCGCCGGTGCTCGCGCCTCGCGCCCTCCTCGTGCAGCAGCCATTGTGTCGGGCTCCATCCATCCCCGCGTGCGTATGGCCTGTCCCGCGTGTGGTGGAAGAAAGCTCGTTCGAGGAAGCGGCGCGCCGCGGCGGCGTGCTGCAGAGCCCCGCCAGCCCCGCCAGCCCCGCCAGACCCGGGTGAGAGGGGGTAGGG